TTGATTTTAATTTTTAAAATTAGAAAACATTTACGAGAGAGAATTCGAGGTTCTGGATACAATTGGATCGGGGGCATTTGGCACGGTATTACAAGTTAAGCATTTGCTGGATGAACAGATTTACGCGATTAAACAAATAGAGATTAAAGGTTAACATGGTCAAACAATTATCTAAATTATATACTGTATCTGTTAGGGATTTACACAACCTGTACATGAACTCTGCTTTTACGTGACTAAGTCATGAAAACAGAGTTCATGTATTAGTTTTGTATATTTCTAACAAAAATGTAAATAAATTATTAAATTTCAGATTTCGGTGATGAACCCAAACAACGAGTGCTGAAAGAGTTGACAAGTTTGGCGAAAATGCGGTCAGACTTTGTTGTCCGGTATTACAACTCATGGCTCGAAGGCAAACACCTCTACATTCAGATGGAGTACTGTTCCCAAAGTCTGAAGCCTATGCTTTCGGTCAAAGGCCAGGTGTTCGGTCGCCAAAAGGGAGATCCTATGAATATATACGAGTATTACCTGTCGTGCGAGATATTTCGGGAACTCCTGGAGTGTGTCCAGTATTTGCATGATTTGGATCCACCGGTCATTCACCGGGACCTCAAACCCGACAATATATTGATTGCTAAGGACGTGAGAAACGGTAGATTCGTTAAGCTATGCGACTTTGGTTTGGCTACCGTTCACGACATGGCATCCATGAGCCACTCGACAAATGTGGGAACTTTTAAATACATGGCACCAGAGGTACACCAATCGCGCTATACTTGCAAGGCTGACGTTTATAGCCTGGGTGAAATTGGCCAGGAGCTATTTGACTTATATTTGTGGTAAGAATGATCGAGCATAGTTTGTTAAATTAATTTATGGTGATAAATTTGTTTCAGCGATAATCCATTGGATAAATATATTGCAAAACCCTTACAAACTAATGTCGAAAAGTTTGTGAAAATGATTCAATCGATTACATCATATGTCTATAATGATAGGCCTACCTGTGCTCAGGTACTCGATGGGTATACCGATTGGTCGATTAACGAGAGCGTTATCGCTGCGAATAAATTTGAGCTTGATATAATTCTTAATGAGCTTAAAACTTACGAAAACATATTGTTCTATCAATATTTGTCGAGTAAAGTTAACTCGCTTATCTGTACCGTATATCTTGATAACCAGGCTTAAATTTATAAATTTACTACTGATGTTGGTAAACTTACTTTTTTACTCAAGATACTACTAATTTATTTATCAATGGCTACATTTTATAAAAGCTATGTACCATAACATAGTAAGTTAATTATTTGTTGCATATCACGGAGTTTATTTTAGTGTAACGCAATTCATAATTTGTATTAAACAGGTATTTAATTTAAATTTTAAAACTAAATTTTAACTAAATTATTCTGGCAATGATGTCAATGTTAAAGTCATTGAAAACATAATAGGATTTTTTAAATTAAAGCATTTTATGAGATTTGTATGAAAAGCTTCAATTAGGAAATCCTATATTTTTTAAAATAAAAATATGTAATAAAATTTTAAACAATGCATTAAAACAAAAACTTTTTGAATTGTCCAAAAATATGGCCAAAGGAGGGGGAAGGGATGCTTCAAACATCCCGTACATCGACTCGGACTTACCGGACGATCAGTATGTGACTCCACCGCCTAACCTACCGGTGCCGCCCATTCAGGTACCGCCCGACTGGCTCACACCCATCCGAGTGGGCGGTAATCAGTTATACCGCGAGCACCCGGTATTTGGCACCTCCTGTACTACAGGCGCTCCCGACCCACCGGACGAGTTGCTCACCCGTACGCCTCCCCCAGACCCCAACCGCCGCATACGACAACACATCCCACATTTCAGACCGTCCCCAACCGCCCACTACGACGCCGGCACCGGTCAGGTATCCATCGATATTGACTCACCCGTACCTCCCGGTGCCGAACAATGTCGCATATGTCTCGAGAGGGTTGAGTGCATGCCGTACGTCGTGTGCGTGTGTAATGACGCCATATGTAGGGCGTGTCTGAGGCAATGGGTGATCACCAGTCAGTCGACCGAATGCTCCGTATGTAAGCACCAGTTTATAGGGGTGCAGACAGTTAGGGAGGGCGGGGCTGTGGGCAGGGCTATGGGTGCGTTTGAGTCGTTTAGCCGCTGGTTAGACGGGCGGAACTGTACGGCCGTCATCGGTATCTCAATGCTGGGGGTGTGGTGGTTGGGCTACATGGTGTTGAGCACTATGGGGACATCGCAGCCCTATTTGTGCTCCTGGTTGGTGGTGATGATCGCCTATATGTTTGTCCGGACGGGGCGTTTAGTGCGGCGCAGAGTATTCCCGCCCGTAAACATAGATAACGACGGGCACCGTATTGTAGACATTCGTATTGACCCCAAGTTGGCTATCAAGAGAATAGGTTCGGGTGGTGGTGGGGCTGGTAGTAGTGGTGGTGGCAGTGCTGGTGGTAGTGGAGGTGCCGGTGCCGCAAATGTTGTTTAGGCCAAACGGTATGGTTGGCTACCAATTCACAAATAGTATGAGTTTTTAAAGAAAAGATAAATTAATTAGATTTTAAAAAGTTTGTGTTTGTTATTTACATTGAATTAAATGTAACATGAGATTAATAATTTAATTAATAGATTAATATAATAGCTATTACTGTATTTGAGTACAAATTTGTTTTACTTGAGGTGAGATGTAATTAAATTTATTTGTGATTCATATATGAACATGGTAAACAATAGAAATTTTGCACATTTTAAGCTATATATTAAATATTTTATTAAATTGTTGATTAATTAAGAAATCTGCAAAAATTAATCTGCTTTTATAAAATAATATTAGAGCTGATACAAAATAATAACATGCTTAACTTACCATCAAGAAATCTATATATTAGACACTATATTTGATTGTTATTTTAATAATTTCATATTTCAAATTCACGCTAAAGTATTTGTTGCTATAAAGATGTTTTGAAAAATAACAAATTAATCAAATTAAAACATTAAATATTATATTAATTAAAATGCTCCTTTTGTTCAACTTTTAGATTAAAAGATTATTAGTTCAATTTGTTGCTAAATACCCGCCCCCTCTAGGTGGGCACACATTTTGTACAGATTTTGATTCAATTGTTATATAAAATCATAAACAGGGTAAGTTGTGAACATTGGAAGAATTGCTTTCATTCTAGATAACGAATGTTGTGTAACCCGGATTAATTATAATTTTATATTTATCATACACTTTAGTTCAAGTACTGTATCTCATTTATGTGATAGTTTAAAGTTTACTAGTGATAAGGTGAAATTAAAAATAAAGTACCACAATTATACCGGCAATCATAATACAGGTACATGGTAATCAATTGATAATCTGTTTTAAGTATTGATTGATATAGTATGAGATATTTTAGAAACTAATTTTAAATCAGGTTTAAAATGTCTTAAAAATACAAGTCATGTGTAAATTGTAGAGATTATTACAAAATAAGTATAATCTTTAATCATACTCTGTTATCCGATATAATAACAAGCGTACTATTACAATGATAACATGGTACGTTTGTAGTATCATACAATAGATCTCACCTAATCAACTATAACATTTACCATGGTGATATCATTTAAAAGTACACTATTTCATACATAATGATTTTACTTGAAAGATATTTCTCGGAACGTATTTAGAAAACATGATGACAATGACATTGATAAGCATTTTACACAGAATTGGATTAAGGATATTGATTTGCATTACCGAGAAATTACCGATGCACATTTAGATACGACATTATTAGTAGAGCATGCACTAGATTTTAGACAATTATATATAAACAGGTAAATCGCAAACCAATCGATCAGTAGATGTTTGTATGGTTTTGTTGAAGTTTTATATTTTAAAACTTATGCAACAAAATGGATAAAACAAGTGTTGTATTAGTTTTGACACTTTTTGTGGGTTTCTTTACTAACTATGAGGCCAACCATATAAAAGGTATACCAGTAAAAATTATTTACTTATTTTTCTATTAGAGACTTTGCTATAAATAAATCCATACTAGTAAATTATTTTGCTTAAAAGTTTACAAATTCTAAAGCAAGTAAAGAATTATTAGAAATAAATTAATATTTTAAACATTATTTCAATCAGGAAACTAATTG